AAATTGTATATCATTATTTTAGTACTTCGATGGAAGTTATCAAAAATTATATAACATTATCTGCGTGTTTCGTAATAAGCAAAAAACATAACTTACAATTTCCTGAGTCCTGTTTTGCAATACGACGCAATAATATAATTGTTAGTAGTTTTAGAATTGAACTCGTTCGGTGTAGACAGACTGCGAGTTTATGTCAGTTTACGCATTAGCAGCGTGAACAGCAGAATACTACATTTAGGAAAGAAGTTCTTGTAAACACGTTAATGTCACAAATGTATTTACGGCATAATTAATATCTCTCAGATTATCGTTCATCTTAAATGCTTCGGCGAACATGTTCAATTTGTCATCGATGTTCCAAGGACCGAAAGGAAAAAGAAAAGGAAAAATATGGCAGCTATTCCGCGCTACGGATTTTGTATCGTTGATGTATCCTTGCTTCTGGTTTTGTCGCATTCTGGGAATATTTCCATACAAGATCAACGCTTCGACCATCAGGACTTGCAAACCACGCTATATCCTATCGACCATCATTATCTGCGTTTTTTGCACTCTCGAATTTAAAATTCTCTATGACATAAATACTTATAACAATATGTTATTCAAAAACATTGGTACACCAAGGGTAATTGAACGTAACTTTTTCTACATTAACAGTGGTTTTACAGTAGTCACCACATTCATTTTGAGTGGACCACGAATGCGTTTTCTTCAGACCTTACTGAAGATCTCCTTGAAATTACCCCCGAAATCATATCAGAATTTATCTAAACTGATTCATACCAAGGACATTTTTGGATTCCTCTTTATATCAGTTCAGTTTTTGATATTAATATATGACATGCAGACTAGTATCGTCCGCAAGATTTATGTACTATACATTTACTGCGTGATGCTTCAGATGGATATGCTATATATAAATTGTGTTTGCATATTAAAAGCTTGTTTCAAGCAAATTAACGACAATCTGGCGAATCTGCGAGAATTGGACACGAAGGGCGAGCCGTATCTTTTGAACGGCACCCATCATGAACAAAGAATTCCATTCCTACTGATGAAGATCATAGCTTTGAAGAAGCAGCATTTGGCAATCAGCGAGACAGTACAGAAGCTAAAAATGGTCTTCACTTTGCAACTTCTTTCTACGATAGTTATGACTTTCACTCAAATCACCTTCAAGCTGTACATTTACTTGATGTATATAAAAGGGGATGCGTCTATAAGCAATCAGGAAAGACAGCTTTATGACATTACTCTTGTTATAGTTGTAACATATTTTTCTACAAAATTAATGTTGACAGTATGGGCTTGTGAGACCGGCAAGAATGAAGCCATGGAGATCAACAGCACCGTTTACGACGTGTTCAACAGCACCAGCAATCAGCAAATAAAATACGAGGTAAATAAAAAGTATTTACCAACTTTAATGACATATTTTATATATTTTTCTAATTATAATGTGTCGCGTACGCTAATGCGATTTTTAAAATAATAATTTTAAAAATAGTAAAATTAATAATTATACATCTTTCAATTCTATATTTAACAATTTTCTTTATCTAACGTTGTAGATGCAGCTGTTTTCTTTGCAATTATCGCATTGTAAAAATACATTCTCTGCAAAGGGGCTTACCGTGGACGCTACGCTCCTCACTAAGGTGAGTGATCAATTATTTGATTTCATTAAATAAGTGGTACATATGTTTAGCTATGTTTTATGGTATTGTTGTTTTAGATGGCAGGTAGCATTGCCACGTATTTAGTAATTTTGATACAATTTCTGTTCATGTCGAATTCTTGCGATGGATAATCTGTAATAGATGTAATTTAGTCGACAAAGAGATACATTATGGTTGAATGTAGAAGATATATTTTAAATCGTTGAGTAGAGGCTCTGTTGGAAATCCAATCGTGAAGAAAATAGGGCTAATTAAGAATCATTAGTTCGAACTAATTATTGACTGAATAAATCTTTTGCATCGAGAACAGCGAATGGCTTTTAATTAGTCCTGTTTCCTTCACGATATATTTTAAATATACTTATTTTTATTAATGTAAGCAGAATATCATTGTAAGTAGAGTCTCCCGTGAGACATTGCATTATACACACATATGTATAGACAAATTTAAAAATCTTATTTCACATACGTGTTAATAAATTAGTTGCAAACGGATGATATGTTTTATTTATTTAAGTATATATTGTAGTCAGACAATATATGTAATATATTCAGTTTTGAAAAACATTACTTTAGAATTATTAAATAAATTATATTTAATTTCTTAATACTCTTGTGTTATAATTTATATAAATTACTACTTAAATATTAATAAATCAATTTATTTTTGATGTGCAAAAATATCTATAATTAATACATTAAATTGTGTTTCGAATAAAATGTTGCTTTGCGATGACTGATATAGTAATATACAAATGAGTAAAAAAGTTACTTTTTTATTTTATTGATGTTACATTGATGGCGATATTAATGCGACGATTCAGTGATAAATGCAATCTTGCAAATTTGAAATTATATCTCCACATTCTGCGCTGAAAGCTGAAAGTCGTATAATTTTCAAACATTTTTGTTGTCACCACAAAGTGCCTTTCTTCTTATATTCAACAAGTATTACGCAGAATTGTACTTCTTTTATTACTTTGTTATTATCGAATCATAAAGTTTCTTTCATATCTGACAATTCGAAAGTCACATGTCAATAATTTTCTCAAATGTTTAACGTAAGTGATGAGATAATTCTTCCAAAATAGAATTTTTTATAGTAAAAAATTGCACCTTTTTGATATATTTTTGAATCGTCTGCGGACGCGTAAATATTTATAGTTTCAGTACTGCAGAAAGTAATCAAAACGTTGGCTGTTCTAGCCACAAGCTAAGTGTGAGTAGAAACTGACTTGCAATCAGAGAAATTGCAAGAATGCAGGGAATATATTACTAATCATAAATCAAAACAACAGATACAGTGCTTATTCATTTCTTGGTAAAATTCTGATATTTTATGACTAAATACGGAGTAAATAAGCATAAATGATTATATAAAGGACATTCAAATAAACAACTTACGTATAATAAATATTTGATGTACATATACGTATAAT